TCTTTTCCTGCTACCTCTGTTTGAGCTCAAGCCAATCTGGCTCCTCCCTGCTGCTCACACCCACCAGGTACGATCCTGCTTCCAGGCTGTCCTGCTACCAGACTTGCTCCTGTGATCCTCTGGGCTGTAGGCTCCATCTCTATCCATCCACCCAAAGGCACGTCCTGCCTCAGCTCTTCACTCTGCTTTAAGCTTCCAGACCTCTGTCCCTCACAGCCCAGGCCATGCCCAGGCCAGATGCTATTGTCCCTCACAGCCCAGGCCATGCCCAGGCCATGCCCAGGCCAGATGCTAAAGCAAAATCCACCCAAACACTTCTAGATTTCCTCTCCAGCTTTCTCTGGAGCTGTGGTCCTTGTAAACATTAGAATCACCTGGAGAGCTCTAAAAATAGAGACCCCCACCCACCCTTGGACCAAATCTAACTGGAGTAATCCATAATCTCTGTGCTGTGGGGCCTGGAAATACCATGGATCCATCAGTGGCCCTCTCAGGGACCACCTTCTTCGTTATGCCTTTCTACACTCCCACCTGAGATGCAATCTGTCCTTTCCTGAAGTCCAGAGCCGTTATACTTCACTGCAGGACACTGGCACACTTAGCTCTGTATTATTGTGATTAATAAGCTTTCCTGTACTCGCCATTTTCCCTCTTTCCTTCCACCACTAATCACACCAGCAACTTAGCGAACATCCAGCCCAACCTACTCACAGGTGCGGCCCTTCAGGACCTGGCATGAGGCCTCACAAGTAGCCAGAGTGGGACATACTCAGCCAGAGGAGCAGCCTGATGAGTAACAGAGTCACCCCTCCTCTCAGTATCCTGGGCCCAAGACACTGGAGGCCCCATTTCCACCACTAGAGCTGCTGCCACCTACCCTAGTTGTTCTATGCCTGAGGTTTGACCAGCAATGTTCCATGGCTTTCATTAGCTCCCTGCAAATATCAAATACCAAAACCAAAACCAAACATATCCCATGCTTCCTAATCACATAGAAAAAGAAATTCGTACTAACCCAGCAAACAGACTCAGCTTCCTCAGCCTATGGACTGCAGCACATCAGTTTCTGACATGTAACAGCTCATAGCATGAAGAGCCAAGGCCAGTACACGAGCATTCACATCCCAGGGGCTCCTGGGGCTGAGAGGTGTCACTGCACAGCAGGATGATGACTGGGTTAGGAGGATTTTTAAAAATCCTAATCATCCTGCACTTTAGAAGGATGATTGAAAATGACTCATGATAAAATAGTCTTACAGCACCAGAGGTGAGTAAAGCAGATGCCAACATTCTGATTGCCCCTAAAAAGAGGATAGTCTGAACTCTCCACATTCATACAGGCTAAATACAGCTATGAGACCTAGGGGGACAGAGCTCAGGGTGTGTGCACAGGTGTCAGGTCCCAGGCTACACCCAGTGAGCTTGGCCCTGACTGCTCTATAACCTGGATCAGCGAACATCTGGAGTTCTCTTCTGCAGTATTGGGGGCAGTCTGCTGACTTCTGCAGTGGCTGGGAGGGGGCAAGTGCTCCCAGAGCTCTTTGATGGTGGATCAGACACATGAGGACAGGGCTCTGAGTCCTGTGGCCCTCTCTCCAACCTTTGCTATGAGACAAGGGAGAGGAGAAAGGAGAGTTGAAAAGGAGAAAATAAACAAAAAGACAATTCTCCCTACAAATATCACTTGAGATTCCATTTACTATTGCTTTCCAGCTTGCCTTTTGACCCAGTCAGCAATAGTACCAGACCTGCTAGAAGTGCCCAGAATCCAGTGGTAATTTTGGTTATTGGGAATTGCTATGGTTTAGGTAAGGGTCTGTTCCCCAAAGGCTCATGTCTGGCATTTAACTCCCAGTGTAATGACATTAGGACGTGGTGAGACCTTTAAGAGATAAGGCCTAGAGGGCAGTGTTTGGACCATGAAGATAACACCTACATGAATGGATTAACGGCACCTCATGAGACTGAATGAATTCTAACTCTTATGAGAAGGTTTCCATTCCTGCAAGAGTGGGTTGTTATAAAAAGAAGATGTATGTCCCTAAGTCTCTCTCTGCACATGTCCACCCCTTCTCTGCTTTGTCAGCCATGTTGTGATGAAATACCTGAGACTGGCCTGATCATGGCCCCATGCTTTTGGACTTTCCAACTACCATAATCGTAAACTGAATAAAACTCTATTCTTTATAAGTTACCAGTCTTAGGCATTTCTGTTAGCATACAGTAGTAGACTAAGTGAGGAGTCTACTCTGTATCATGTTTATTCAATCAACTCCCCAAAAGTATCTACTGAGAACACTTAATAGCTTCTTGAGCTGATAGTCAGATCTTTGAATTCTCTTTCTCATTTTTTTTCATTTTTGTTTGTTTTGTTGTTTTTAATTTGCTACAGGATATGTGCACTTAACTGGAGAAAGAGAGAGAAAGGGAAAGTGAGAAAGCACTCCCAGGGTAGGGGTAGGGAGTGGTGGCCACACCACAGTCCCTTCTCCACCATTCTCCTTTGGGGATTTTGGGTATGCATGCACTTGGGTCTAGTGCGTTTTTCAAACTGCCAGGTCCAGCCGTGTGGAATCCAGCCACTAGCTAGCCTGATCTCTGAATAAAAGGAATTTTGATCATGTAGGAATAAAAAGGAAGGAAAAGGGGGAGAATGGAAAAATCAAGTTAAAGAAACTGATTCTCCAGAACTCTGAGTTTAAAATCAGAAAACTTGAATTCTAAAACCATCTCTGCCTTATGCTGCTTATTTTTGATATTGAATAAGCTATTAAACCTCTTGGACTTTGGCTTCCTGGTCTTTTACATGAGAGTTCAACTCAAAAGACACATTGAGTTTCTGTGATTCACTAGGCTCCAAGTGAGGCATGGAAGACTGGAAGATGAGCAGGAAAGGACCTTGCCTTTGGCTCTGCCTGAGAACAAAGGGGACAGGTCCTCCCTTCCTGGCAATCTCTGCAATAACTGTCAGGCACACAGGCTACCAGTCTCTACACTCCCCAGACCCAGAGGGGGCTCAAAAGAACCCAATGGGAGAAGCTGCCAGAGTACCAGAGCTCTACACAGATAGAAGCTGTCACTGTCATCATCATAACCACAACCCTATGTAGGTCAGCCCACCTATAAGAGGATAGAAAAGTCTGATTTCCGAGCTGACAAATGCCAATGTGATTTGGTAGTTATTATTTAAATCCCAAGTGTTTGAGGGATCTGAAGTATATTTTACTCAAATGTTGAATTACTACAACCCCCAAATTATTCCAGGTGCATGGTTTAAATTAGGCTTTTCATCTTGTGCCGTAGGTGGCTGAGTTTGTGCAGTCTCTTCTGGGCTGTGAAGAGCATGCCAAGTGTTTTAAGAAAGAGGTAAGAGATGTAAAAATTATATATGTTACTATACTTCCAGACTCAGAAGGGCTTTGCTTCCACTTACATGTAAATAAGAGCAGTGTGAGGAGGCAAGAGAAAGGGGATGCAGCAGGAAATGAGCCGGCAGCACGGTGGAACAAAGCACGGCCACCCCGCCCTCAGTTCTCTTATTTTAGCTGTGCTTTGTCACAGAACGCAGAAGCACTTGGCTCATACCGTGGGCTCAGCAAACATGCTATTTGGTGGAAGAGTAAATGAACAAGATAACTAATTAATACCTACGAGTGCCAAGGGGCCTCTGCATTGGTGGCTTGAAGCCACTCTGGGGAACGGGAGGAATCCTCTCTGGGACTGCACCCAGGGAGTAGGGGGATCTATCTTCTCCAAAGTGAGTGGGACCATCCCATCTATCCCTGCTCAGCACCTGCTTCAAGAAGGAGACAGAAAAGCAGCCACATCTGTCCATGGGGGCTCCAGCTTCTTGCTGAGAATGGAATGAGCTCCTTAACAATTTTTCTGGACTTAATAGTGTAGAAGATGATGAACCAGCTACAGAATAATATTAGAATTAATAAGAATAGGAACCGTTTAGCATGGGCTTTCCTTATGCCTAGACACTGAGCTAAGCATTTTCCAGCCATTGTCCCTCTGATCTGCAGAATGACCCCGTAGTGGTGGTTTACCAGTGAGGAAGCTAAGGCTCAGGAAGGTGGTTTCAGCACATATCCATCTGATTCCAGAGACTGGGTCCTTGCTCTAGAACTCTCCAAGAAAACTGTCTTCCTAGAGACTCTAAGGTCAGCACATGCCTGTCCCTGTCTTGAGTTTAGACCATCCGTGGCTTGGGGAAGTATACTCAAGTTTTGGGTCCTGGACCCTCAGAGCCCAGCAGGAGAACTCTGCATGAGGGTCAAATGGCATCAGTCCAGGGAGCTGCCAGTGAACGTGTGCGTTTTGTCTAGTTGGCCCAGCCTTGCACATTCACGACCCAGTCTCTGCATGCGGTGACCTTTGCCTAGTTGGCCCACCTTGCCCACAAATCTGTCTACACATGAAGGGCAAAGAGTGGCTTTTTGCCAGTGGCCTTGCTCAGGCTTGGTGTTTACAGATCGGCAGTCACCTTGGGCAGATCACTTAACGTCTCTTAGCCCTCTCCTCTGAAACACAGGCTCCTGTAAGGGACACGAACCTAGCCCAGTTGGTGTCCTAGAGTAGGGGCTTAATACAGACAGTTTTATAGAGTAGAAGGTCTCTTCTGAGGTCCAATATGCCCTGCATGAAATCCAAACTTGGCCTCTGAAAAGCTGTATGGGCTTGGATGGGTGATTAAGCTTATATTTCTGTTTTCTCATCTACGTTATGGAGTTGTTGGGAGGATCCATCTTCTCCAAAGTGAGAAGATACATATGCAGTGGATTACTATAATCCCATAAATATTATCCAGCCATAATCATCTTCACCATCATCACCTTGGACAACTGGCTATTTGGATAGTAATTTTTGTCTGAAAATGCTGGAATTGAACCCAAGTCAGAGTATAGGGATAGGCATGTTCTTTCTCCTCTGCCATTGGGAATATATTCTTTACATTCTTTATTCTATGGGGGAAGTATTCCATTCTCTAGATGGGCAGCTCTTCATTAAACAATATATCACAAACACATAGGAAAAAAATTGAACTTTTTATTTATTTATTTATTTTAAAACTGGGCCAACTCTATAGCCTGGTGGTGAAGTGCTGTGGAGAGGGACCCAGATCCCACATGGCTGACTGGTTCGATTCCCAGTTCCAGTAACTTAATATTACATTAGGCATGGGTGCATATGCCTAGGCTCCTTGAGAGGATGAAGAATGAAGGGAAAGACAGATTGGTGTGTGGCCAGGCCTGTTGTGGTGTTTTTCCACTCTCTTTTTCTCTCATGCACACACATGCATCCTCTGGCATGAAAAAGTAAAAATAAAATAAAGTTTTAAAATTTTAAAACTCCACCCCAGGGGTCTTTAGGTAATCCCTTCTGCCATAAGGATCACTATCAGTGAGATGGATATTAAGGGGTTTATATTAATAGATGTGGAAAGGTTTAGAGTCACAGGGCTAGGTTCATGGAAGGACATTACCATAGGAAAGCCTTTTATTCTTGTCTTCCTGTTCCCGGGGGGGGGGGGGGGGGGTCTCGGTTCCGGGGGGGGGGGGGGAGGAATCATCTGGGCCAGACTGTGTAAGTAAATGACGTAGGTGGAGGACACGCACAAACCAGCAGTCCCCAAGGATCAAGCTCTGAGGTCACTGGGGCCTCCCAGAAGCTGCAGAAAAACAGCAACAGCCTGAGCAGTGGTCACTTGCTATAATGTGACCCTCAGGAAAAAGTCACATTTCACACCCCAGCATGCTTTTTTAACTTAAAAACATTTAATTACCAAATAAAGATTGAACATATTCAAGGACCACATGATGACCTGGGTTACGTATACATTGCATGATGATTACTACAATGAAATTAACACATCTACTGCCACCGGGTGCTGCACATCAGATCCAGAGCATGTTCATCTAGAGCCAAGAGTCATTTCGAGTCAGTTTGAAAATATGTTTTAATAAGTAAAACATTCATTTTGCATGTATTCATACTTATAATAGTATTTATTATAAAAAAAAATCTTGGTACCAGCAGTTAGTGTAATGGCTATGTCGCTGAACTCCCATGTAGTCGACCGCGGTTCAAGCTCCGGATCCGGTGGCTTAAATTCACGCTGGGCGCGTGTGCATGCATGCCCAAGATCCCTAGAGAAGAATGGACAAGGGATTGCGGCGTGGCCATCCCCCTGGGGGGTGATTTCTCACTTTCTGTCTCTCTGTCTCTCTCTGTCTTTCTAGCTAGTGCTCGCGCCCTATAGCAAAAACCTCTACAAAAAAAAAAAAAAATCTTTAAAGACAAGAAATTTTAAATGAGAAAATAAAAACCAACCACTGGTCCACTCCTGTTAATATTTGGTGCAAAGACTTCAACTATTTTAAGTATGTAAATGAATATATGCAGTCATGCATCTTTAATTTTACAAATTAAAACCGAGATCTTAACTACATCATCATATCATTTCATTGCTTAATGGTTCAGGAAAAACTTCCCAGATCATTAAATGTTTGATTGAGACATGGATTTTGGTGACTGCCTAGTATCTCACCCTGTAGCCATACCATAATTTATTTACTTCTGTTATTAATATTATTGGAGCACTGACTTGTTTTCCATATGTTACTATTATAAATAATACTAAAGTGTACACATTGCATAGTATTCTCTTAGGAAAAATTCCTGGAAATTTACTCAGTGTTATTTTTAAGAATCTTGATACAAATTTAGACCAAGATTTTAAAAACATACCAACATAAATTTAGCTCCAGAACAGCTAGTGTTCACTGAATTTATATTTAATGCATTTTTAAATATATCTCAACTTCAAAATCAAGCTGGGGAGCAGGGTGTGGAGTTGAGTGATCATTGGGACTAAGCCTTAGGAGGGACACCAGCATTCTGTGCCGCTACTGGGCTCTCCAAGGAGGCCATGGCAGGCTGAGCGTCACAATTAGAATCCAGGCGTTACTGGCCAGTAACAGGTGTCCATGACAGGACTTGTTATTTGTATGTATTTATTTATTTGCAGCAGATTGATGGCAAAGCCTTCCTGCTTCTGACTCAGACAGACATCGTCAAAGTGATGAAGATCAAGCTGGGACCAGCACTGAAGATTTACAATTCTATCCTGATGTTCAGGAATTCCCAGGATCTCACTGAAGAAGATACCGCCTCAGGCCAAGGAGTCCAGGGATAAGCATCCTCCCTCAACTTCCGCTGGCACCAGGACCTGGGCTCTTTCAGCAATAAAATTGGCACACATCAACTTGATTTTCATGTCCCCATGTTCAGTCCATACTTAATCTGGACCTTTTAATGTGTCTATGGTTTATATGTTTAGAGGATTTTGACATCTACTCAAGTGCCAACAACTCTGAACCTTCGGCACGTGCTTGGGTTTACGAACATCGCTATCTTTGGTGGGAACCCTTTCAGCTCTGATGTGTTGCAACAAACAGACCAAAGAAGCCCACATATACACCTTCATTCTTTTCCCTCACCATAAAAGAAACCATTTTCCATTTTACAAGACTAAAACTCTCAAGTGGCAAAATACTAGAAAAACAGTACTCAAAAATACATTGTTAATGTTTCCATCAGAACAACATCTGAGCTTGGCTCAGAGCCATCTGAGAGCAGGGAGTCTATAGAGATAGAGGCCTGGTGCTTTAAAAAGCCTTTATGTGAGATTTTTGTGTACTTTACTCAGGAAAGTGTGAATCTTAATAATAATAATAATAATAAAAGCACATGTTTTCATGGTTCATTAATTCTCCTTTTTGTTCCATTAACCATTTCTTGGTTGTGCCCCCACATTTTCCTGGAGCATACAAAAAAGAATGTGCCCAGGATTAATGAGAAGGCAGTCAGGGACATTTCCGGGCTGGTGAAACCTTAACAAGGACCCTCCACCAGCAGCAGACTCTCAAGGGACCCTACCCTAACCTTGCGCTGAGACTCTCCCAGTCTCCACTCTGAAGGGAATTCTAGGAGGATTGATTTCTCCAGCCATCTGTGTGAGTCTGAGTAATAAGGAGCTCTGTTACATGTGAGACCTTGTGTACATCTTTACAAACAGACCATTAAAAAGGAAGATCTCTAAAGAATGGAACTGGATATGTATTCTTTAATTGAAAAATTCTGATTTGTTATCAGATCTTTTTTTTTTTTTTAAAGATTCTATCGAGGGCTTAAGTTGTGTGGAGTGACTTCACAAGACAAGTACCTCTTTTTTTATTCTTACTGCAATTACATGTAGTAAGAGCTACCAATGCTCTCATGGAAGTAGAGATCCATTATATTTGGGTGGGGAGAGAAAGAGAATGGATTTAAAAAAAAAATAGACCTGATTGTATCCACTTGCTTTGTGAAGAATGTTATGCTATAAGAAAGTTGATTCTGCTGGAAGAATTTTGCAAACTTTAGGGTACTGAAGGTAAAAATATCTTCACTAAAAGGTGTGCATATGTTTCTTTATATCCTTACCTAAACAGAATTTTAATATATTGTTGTTTGATGTAAATTTTGTTTGTGTGGGATTTTATTTGTAATGTTTTGTTTTGCTTTTTGTAGACTGCCACATGCAATTAAAATTCCCGCTTCTGCTATGTTAAAATTTTAATATATTTTAAATGATAATAAATAGATTAAACAAAACCTACATCTCACTAAGTTAATGAATGAGTTGTTATATCTTGTGCCCACAACACATCTGGAATCGGTTTTCCTCAGCCAGGGAAGGACAAAAGTAATTCATCAACATGCATCAGTCAGCAAGGAAGTCGGTCACTTTGGAGTACCCTGTTTCTTGGGAAACATTTTCATAAGAAAGTAGGTTTAGGTATTAGTAATTTGAGAAATTAAATTGGAGGGTTTTTTAAAAAAAATAATTATTTATTTTAATTTTTATTTATTCATTCATTTATTTTAATTTGACCAGAGAGAGAGAGAGAGAGGTAAAGTGAGAAAGCAAGCCACCAGGTCCAGGGCTTGAACCATGACCAACAGTGTGGGAGTGTCTGGTGCCTCAATCATCATGCCACCTACTGGCTCCCTGTTTTGTTTTTAATAAGAACTCCAGTGGGCCAGCTTATGGCCTGGTGTTTAAGAAGGCTGGATCCCACATGGCCAACAGCATGGCTCAAGTCCTGGACCCAGTAGCTTCAAAAACATGCATGTGTTTCCAAAATCCTGAAAGGAAAATTGGAAGAGAAGTGATTATAGCATGACCATGTCCCAGTATGGGTACTTTGTCACTCCCTCCCCTTCTCTCTCTCTTTCTCTTGGTCTCTCACTGATAAGTGTTCATGCCTACTGGCAAATTAAAAAAAAAAATCAACAACAACAAAAATAAAACACAGAGAGAGAGATAAGAAAGAACCCTGAAATGACTCACCGTAAGTTCCATGGAAGATCTAAGATTGTGTTTCATATACATGTCATTTCAAAAACAGGGTCTGGAACAAAACAGGTAATACCAAGACAAAGTAGAGTTGAACTATTGTGTCCCTAGAAGACAGTGTGATCAGGCAGAAAGAGATCAATCCAGGTATCCAGCCATCTGCTGCATATCCCCACTCTATCACCCTAACTCTTCACCTCCCTTGACCTACTCAACAGGGAGCTCAGGTCACCCACCCTAGTATTCCTTTTTTCTCACCTGAGTGAATTCTCAGAGTGGCTTCCCAAGCTAGGAAGCTAAAATTGTCTATGTCAATTTTTGTAGTGTAATTTTATCAACTAAAATGCCATCACTGGAGCTAGAGAGAGAAGTGCACAGAGAGCTGGTCAGGCTGGTCCCAGCAGCTATAGACACTGCACAGTGCCTACCCTTCAGGCAACTATCACTTCTCACTTTTGCATGAGCTGCTCCCTCCACATGAGTTCTCACCTACCTCCTCCCACTTCCTCAATAGTCTTTCTGGACACCTTCACTGTTAGCTTCTCAACTTAATGTGCCTACAGCAGCCCACACCTCCTCATTGTATTTCTCCTCACTCTAATGCTATTACTTGTCTCTCTTCACTAGTCTGGAAGGTCTGTGAGGACAAGGAGAATGTCCTTCATGTTCATCTCTTATTCCTAGCATTTGGCAGAGATCTGCTATTTCTCTGGAATGCAATAAAGTATTTGTTGCGTCAATGAATGAAGTAAGCCAACTGAACTCAAATACAAATCCCAGCTCTGCAACTTCTTAAGTAGTTATAGCCTCTATAAAAGACACTAAAAGACACTTTTCATTTGATTTTGGAGATGTCTTTTAAAAGTTCACAGAAATGCATACTATGAGAAAACTATACATGTATTTTGATTGTTTTGCATAACAATAAATTCATATTTTAATGCCATTTTTTTGTGACCTTTTCAAAGTCCCCTCATATGCCTCACATATAAGGTACTTGCACCTAATAGCAGCATTGGGTAGGTGTCAGGAAAACAACAATAAACACCCATTTCTTGGTGAGAACGGACTGAGCTTCTCATACATAAACTCCTTAAATTTGCATCAAACCTAAACCCAGCCTTCAATGATCCCAAGCCCCCCCCCTCCTATTGTGGCTACATGTTTGGAGGCTCAGGAGAGTGTGGGGCAGATCCAGGGATGCATTTAAGGGCTCCTAATTGCCCTGGACTCAAGTCTAGCTCTCATTCCAACCAGCTTCCCTTCCCCCTCCCCTGATGCTCTCCAGAAAGGTTTAAAACATTAAGAGTTGAAACCGTGGGCATGCTCTGTAGCACAGTAGTTTAAAGCTGGATCTCATATGGCCACCTGTGGTTTGAATCCCACAGTAGCCAGCTTGAAATGTATTCCCGGAACATACACACATGCCCAGGATCCTGATAGGATGATAGAGAAATGAAGGGGAAAAGACTAGTGTTAGCAGGCCCCCATGTGGGGTGTGTGTTTTGTCTCTCATGCGCATGTGCCCTTTGGCTAAATAAATAAATAAATAAATCTTGCACTCTGTCAGGAAGTCCCTGCCACTGCAGACTCAGGTAGCATCCAGACATGACACAGGTAGTACACAGGCCTCTGCTGCCCCTGAGCCCTAGCCTCAGCCTCTCACTGTCTCCTCTTCTAATTCCCACCTGTAACATGGGCTAAGGACAAAGCAAAATACTGCCAACAAATTTCAAAAAATACCAACTTCTAGGTTATTAGAGAGTTCCCCTCAAAGGACCATTTGTAAAACACACTGTAAGTACACATCATGATGATGAAATTAGGTGATCAGCAAGAATCCTAAGGGGGCTAAGGACTTCTGTGATACAGTCTTCAAATGTCTGTCACTTCAGATCACTTTGACAAAAATCAATGTCTCCCAGTTCCGACAGCCTTAGGACATTCAACACAAAACAACCTATCCTTACTCTCCAAATACTTCCCTTCTCCCTCTGTGATTAGAAATCCCTGTGTAACCCGCATATTAAAAGAGTTTCCACAAGCAACAGCACAAGAAATTGACCCTCATTAACACAGGGCTCTGAGCTAAGACATCCTTCTTTTACTGAGTGCTGGCTTTCAAACATACCTGGGATTTCTTGGATGAGTCATCTTTGTCTATAGAATCTCCCGAAGTTTACAAAGTTTACGTAAAAGTTGGAGGCAGTGCAATGCAAATAGTAGAAAGTACTTGGGCTTTGGCATGAGGCTGGGTTGGAATCCTGAGTCCTATGCCACACCAGCTGATGATCTAAAAGCATTTCTTTACCTCCCAGCAAATGACCAATTTACTGCATTTACTCACTTTCTTAGGAACGTGGAATTTTACTTCCTTCTATTTTACAAAATATTCTTCAGTTTGTCCTTGTAATTTCTATAACTGAAGAATATATTTTTGAATATAAAGTATTCCTATGAATATCATCTTAAAATTTGAGAACAGAGTCTTCATGAATATTTTCTCTTCCAAATGTATTCTTAAAAAGTTATCCTTTTTATATTCATGAAGAATATATGTGCTAATAGATTCTTGAATATTCAGAATCTTTATATATTTTTCTTATGAATAAACATATTAATCAATAATATATTCATAGAAAATCTTTATCCAAAAACAATCTTGTTACACACTCTCAGTCTCCATCTCTGTCTGCAGCAGGAAACTGGGACAGCCAGACTTCCTAAAATGATGCTGTAAAGACAAAATAAAAACTCAAGAGTTAAACAAGTAAATTCACTGACAGAGTCATTTTGGTCCATTAGTAACCAGCAATTCGGTGTCTCAGTGAAATTGCCTGCTTCCATGTCTTTGCACCATACATTCCTATGAGGCAGAAGATGAACTTTGAGGGCCAGCCTGGTAGCCTAATAGTTAAATGAAGCCAGATCCTTTTTGGTTAACCATGGTTTGAGTCCCAGCCCCTGCAGCTTGACAAACAAGTACATGTGTATGCATGGCCAAATCTCAGTGAGGTAGAGAAAGGGAGGAGAAGGGACTATGGGTGTGATCATGACCCATTGTAGGGGTCTCTGTCTAGAGAGTGCATGCTTCCTCTTACAATTTAATAAATAAATAAAAGATAGATTTTAAATCCACTGGCCAATGAAACACAGCCCTGCTGCCACTGTAGAATACCCAGGCTGGGATGCACATGGATGTCCAGAGGGTGTTAAGGTCCCGTGAAGATGCAGCTCTTCAATGATGGAGCAGAGGACCATGAGCACATTAACAGTACGGTCCCTCCCCTGGGGACTGGAGGGCACTGAGGAGTGAAGCAGCAGTTAACATAATCATTGTTTGCTACTGGCAGCACACAAGAATAACACCAAAGAGGTCAGGGAGAAGGGCTGTGGGGTGAATAAAAGTTAACCATTAAAAGGGAATGAAAATCAAACAGTGGAAGCAATGAGGCTTTGAGTTTACATATTGAGAGCTAATTTATTTTTCTCCAAATGGTTTAATTTCATGAGATCATATTAGTTGTTTTGTGCCTTTTGGCCTATGAGGCAACACCCATCAATTTCCCATTTACTTCAGTTCACAATTAGATTGCACTCCCTTTGATTTAGGAATCTAAGCATCAAGGCAAATGGATGCATGAAAAACACAAAGTGCTGAGAAATCCCAGGTTAAAACCAGATGTTTCCACAAAGGATTGAACTGTGATTGCTGAACTGCAGCTAATAACAGTTGTATTAAATATGTGGTTGGGGACTGTTTGGAAATACAGGAGCTATATTTCACTGTGAAATGCTGGGGTCTGAGAACTTCCAACAGGAAAAAAAATATTAAGAACCATTGGCAAATATTAACTCCATTTCATTTCTTTAAGAAAATGTTTAAAAAGAGGTGCTTTTACAGGCTCTCTACTGGATGCAGGGGTCC